TTATGCCCCGGTCTAGGGGAACCTTTGGCATAACATTGATTTTTGCTCCACACCAGTCTTTCCACTTCAGAGAAGGCCAGCAATCAGACAAGCCAAGTACCAAAATGAGCAGTTACTTTTATTTTTGCAATAAAGAGGGGGACATAGGCCAAATAACAAACAAAACATATTCTACATTAACCCTGATTTCCCTGTCGGAAAAGAAAAAGCAAATAAAAGACAATAACTTACCTACCTACATAATAAACCAAAAACAGGAGAAAAAGGGTTTAAAAGAAAAAGGCCTCTCCCTCCTACTCTGCTCTCTATCTACAATATTACAAAGATTCACATAAAGACACGGAACCTGTAGCACACGGCTACGACTACAAACACGTTACTGCTGCATCCTCCTGCAGTACAGTCGTGATGGCATGCTGGCTTTCTCTGAGGTGGCGAGGCTGGAGGTGAGGAGAACGAGTGCAGCTGGCGGGCTGTTCAAATAGTGGATGGGCCCGCCCTCTGACCAATTGCATGGCTCAAATCAGGCGAGGCAGCAGGCGAGACAGCCAATCCAGAGTCACCACCTGCTCCTAATCTATTCACTCAAAATTCACACACGCACGCACACACACACACACACACACTGAGGAGAGAAGCAAGCAGCAAACACACACAAAACACTATAGATGACCCACAGGGTCATAACAGTTATATACAGATGGATGTAGGAGGTTTTATCCAGGAAATCATTTCTTAAAGTCTTCAGATGACACTGAAATTTTATCCTTACTTAATAAGGATGGCACCACAACTAAATACAAGAAATTCAATGATTCTTTGAATGGTGTGACGATAAGTACCTAGTGTTAAACACAAGCAAAACAAAAGAAACTGTGTTTGACCCCCGGGGGACTGGTGACCACAGGCCAGTGGTCATCCATGGTCACTCTATTGCTCAGGTTAACACTTACAAGTATGTGGGGGTGTCTATCGATAATACGTTAACCTGGGGTACACATGTTGAGCACTTGTACAGTAGATTGCAGCAACGACTGTATTTCCTGCGTCGCTTAAGATTCCATGGGGTGGACAAAGGGATCATGATAATCTTCTACCATGCAGTGCTGGAGAGTGTGGTCAGATACAGCATCACAGCTTGGTACGGCAGCCTCTCCGTTCAGCTGAAAAACAAGCTGCTGCGTCTCGTCCACCTGTGTGGAAAATCATAGGTGAGCAGGAGCAGCCATCCCTACAAGACACCTATGAACAGGCCGCTCTGTGCCTGGCCAACAAGATCCTGAGCGATCCTGCACATGTTCTGCACTCAGAGTATGAGTGGTTACCTTCCAGAAGAAGGCTCAGAGTCTCATGCTGCCGATTGAACAGGTTTAAAAATTCATTTGTTCCAGCTTGGATTAGGCTAATAAGTAAAATAGCTCTAATTGTTTTTTGTTTGTTTTTGTTTTTTAAAGTGTCATGTCTCATATAATTAGACTATGATGTTCATTTTATTCTGCTTTTATTTGATCTATCGAGAGTGTCCTTACCGCCTCTGTCACGGTCTGGTACAGAAACTGCACAGCACAAGACAGGAAGGCACTCCAGAGGGTGATCAAGACTTCACAGCACATTGCTGGGGCAGCCTTCCCCTCACTGCAAGACATTTACAAAACCAGGGTCCTACGAAGAACACACAACCTCATCAAAGACAGCACACACCCACAACACTCACTCTTCACACTCCTACCATCAGGCAGACGCTACAGGAGTGTGAAGTCCAGGACCACAAGGCTGGCAAACAGCTTCTACCCACAGGCCCTCAGGCTTCTCAATGACTCGCTCACACACACTGCACACACATATTCATAACACTGAGCACTTTATTGTTGCTTTTAATTGTTTATTGTTGTTCTTATTGCTTGCTTTATTTTAATGTGTTGTCTTTTTTCGGGAGATTGAACAGAATAAGAATTTCATTGCCTTGTATAACTACCTGGTTTGCTGTGCATATGACCATAAAACTCTTGGACTTCTGTATCTCACAGAGCGCTAAACTTCACATCTACCTCCCGCTACAGCAAGCATGGAAAAGAACGTAGACAGTCCTGCTGCCACCTAGAGGACGGTACCACCAGGTGCTTGTCAACTGCTGTAAAGTGTCGCAAATAATAACGACTCATAAAAAAAATAAATGACTCAGCCTGACCATTTGTGTCTGATTCCACAGTGAAATAGAAAATTCATATTATCTTATTAAACACTTATTTTATCTCCTTGTGTATTTATTTGTAAATAAATGAAATGTTCAACATATTTATTTCCTTGCAGATTCTACTAATTTATTCAAATGAACTTTTAACTCTTGCATAACATGAAATATCTTCATGAACTTATTATTTTTAGGTGGGTTTCAACTATTTCACAAACCACCGTGAGACCGGGTTGGCTGTCCTGTTTGCCCCCCATCCCCTCTCTCACCCAACCGGTGGAGGCAGATGGCCGTCCTCCCTGATCCTGGTTCTGCTGGAGGTTTCTCCTGCTTTGGGGGGTTTGGTAGCCAACCGCTTGTTCAGAGAAAGTCCAAAGGCTGCTGTTGGGTTTAACTCTGTAAGGTCTATACCAGACTATGTTAGGCACTGTGAGACGACGTGTTGTAAACTGGGCTGTACAAATAAAACTGAATAGAATTGAACTGAATTGAAGAAATGAACGTTACTGTTAGCATCGAGCTAACTGCGGCCTGGCCCTAATCAGCATCACTCTGTTCAGGTGTGCTAGCCTTCAAATATGGGACGTGTTGGGCCGCCAGGTGATTTGACTAACCGGTTTCCTCATTTTATTCAGCTATTCAAATGAGAGTCAGTCCCGCAGGAGGGAAGCGGAGCTCTGAAGACTAAACACCCGGGAGGCTCCGTGACACACACCGACCTCTGGACGGTGCAGCGGGGACAGTAATCGGCCATGATTGGAAGCGGTAAGAGCGTGTTGATCGCCAACGCACCAAACTTCACTCAGAAATTGTACACTTTTAGATTTTCTGCTATGCTTACAGGTAAAGTCGCTGTAAAATAACCGACTGTGGATGTTTTGCAAATCAATAGAGTTTTGAGTCAAATTCGGCGTGAATAATTGCCAACAATAAGTGCTTAATGTTGGTGAATATGCTGTGTATTGCAGCGTGGGGACTTCTTTGCGTTAGAATAACGCAGACATACATGTTACGTTTTAGATTATAAATTGCTAGTATTTTGCATGGAGTTTGGTGGTAATGTTAGAAAAGTTCTAATAGCTAAACTAAACTAAAAAATATATTGTTAGATAGTTTAATCAAAGTTGTTCTGGCTGTTTAAAATGGTTCTCCATATAAAAAATTAAATACATAAAAATGAATATGGGCACATTTTCCATTTTCAGACCCACTTTGTAGGCAATAAACTTTTCTTTTAATTTTTGTGACCAAGTATTTCATATTATAAAGTATTCTTTGTTTAGTTCTGTATTACTGTGACGTGCAGCTACATGTGGTTCAGAAAACATCTCTAGCTGATTTGTGCTTGATCATTTTTTATTGTTAATTTGAGCTCAAAGATTAAACTTTTCATGACAGCTTACTTTTTCATATTTTACTCACCCTGAATCTAAGACGGCTTCATATGGTTGTCCAGTGTTGTAGAATCTGAATCAGTGACATGATGAGAAACAACAGTGAACATTTCAGGTTTTCATCTTTAATAGTTCCTCAGATGTTGTCGTTCAAACAGCCTCAGATTTAAATGTGTACGACAGGAATTAAAAAACAAAATAACTATTAATATAAAACTTCATTAATATCTTTATTTTATGCTATAAACATTTCAGACAAATCAGATGGTTGAGCAGAAACTGTGTTTATTTGAGGTTAAATGACTCATGTTGGGTGAACTGAGTCGGTTCCTGCTGAGATGGTTTCAGAAGAACAGGCCTGCTTGTTTTGCATCTTATTTTCTTGTGTAAATTCAAACGGACGATGCAAATGTCTGCGCTGGCGTCGCCGCTAGTTTGGATCAGCTGTTGTTATTCAGACAGAGAGCAGCTCCACGTATGCAAACCAGCGGACAGGAGGTAGCGCTGGAGGACGGCAGCTCAGCATGGAGGTGAAAACTCAAAGCAGTCGGGTTCTTCCTCCGTACGACTGGGAGAACGGGTTCTTAACACATCAGGCTTTGTACACAGGAGCAGTGACATGGAAAACAGGACGAGGAACAAACTGAACGTCAGTGGAAGCTTCTCTGCTTTGGGAAACTCGTCCAGTCATCCAGTGTAAACATGGTCTACAGAGTGTATTAACATGTTGGAAGAAAGATGATGTGGAAGCATTCAAAATCACAGAATAAAAGTCAAACATTAGAGAAAAGTACAGACAACTTCAATAAACTCACCGATGAGGTTGAACCTGTCGGAAGCTTCTATCTGGTTGGTTTGCTGTGTTTTGATCATCTGCAGACTGAAGCTGTTTGTAGAGCAAAGTTCAGCCAGAGGTGAATAAAAATACTCCAGAGAGTTAAAATGTTGGAAAAGACAGAAGAACATCACAGGAACATAATCACACGTGACCAAGTATGAAACAAGTGGACAACCTGCAGAAATACACAGACGAGGTTAAACCTGTAAGAAGGTTTGTTGTTTTCAACATTTCTGCAGCGTTTTCAAGAGAACGTTGTTGTCTGAAGACTCAGGCTGGTTGTCGAATATATTTCAGACAGAGGTGAATCCAGATGCTTTTCAGAGCGCAATAAGATGTTGGGAAAAGGAAGATAAACACTGAAACACAACTAAACATTAAATATGATGAACATAAATGTACAGAGGAGGTTAACCTGATGAGGAGGTTTAACGTCGTTTGCTTCCTGATTGTTTCTGCAGAGCTGTGAGACGACGTCTGAACACTGAGGCAGGAGCATCTTCATCATCTCTTCATCCTCCGGCGGTTCGTCATCTCGTCGTTGATTCTTCCTCCGGCTGCTGCCCTCCAGACCGTCATGAATCCCTACAGTAACGCGGCCCCTCCTCCATACTCGGCCCCGGACCTGCAGGATAACTCCCATGATGCACCTGTGTCCCCCTCGGTGTCGCCTCCGCTCGTCCAGACGGGTCAGAGCTCTCTGACCCGCAGCTCTCCTCCCAGTCGGGCCTCGTGGGACCAGCGTGGCGGTCCATCCCTGTTCCGGTCGCCCAGCTCCGCCCTGCCGGGCTTCAGTGTCAGAGCCCCGGCGGCGAACCCGTACCCGGCCCCCAGCAGCGCCGCCTCCTGCTGCCACGTGTCCGTCATCATCCCCGACGCCGGGCCTCGGTGCTCCGAGGACAGCTGCCCGGACCTGGAGTGCTCCATCTGCTTCAGCCAGTTCAACAACGTGTTCCGCTGCCCCAAGATGCTGCAGTGCCAGCACACCTTCTGCCTGGAGTGCCTGGCCCGCATCAACGTCAAGTCGGCCGAGCCCAACGCCATCCAGTGCCCGCTGTGCCGCAGCTTCACGCCGCTGCCCGCCCTCGGCCTGCCCAAGCTGGACACGGACTCCGACGTGCTGTCCTGCCTGCCGGCCGCCATGCAGAGAGTCTACAGCATCCGCTTCGTCCGCAACAAGGGGAAGCTGCAGGTCAAAAGGTCGGGACGCCTCCTGAAGCAGCCGCTTGCTGTT